GCCTTCACCCACACCTGGAGAAAAAGGGGAGAATCAAGCCTGAATACCAAGGAGTTAGTCTCCAGAGTCCCACTCTCTCCCCATTCCCATGTTAGCATCTCTTTCTCTCTCATCTTCCACCCTGACCCACCCCCTCTATAAGTCTGGCTTCTCCTTGTACTGTCTCAGGCAAGCTTCCTTCCCATGAGGAACAAGGAGGTGACAGCACAATCTCTATCCCAAAATGGGGGACAGATTGAAGTTAAGGACTCAGGAGAGGCAACACTGCCTCTAAAGGAGGGAAACAATGAGGAAGAACTTACAGACTGCAGTCCTTCTGGTGCCTCTTACCTCAAGTGACAAAAGCAATTGTATCTGGACTCCCTTCCAGGTCCTGTCATGTTTTGAGGTCTGAAGATTTTTCTATAAAAGCCACCCACCCATCTCACCTCAAAACTCCAAGCCAGGATGGATCCAGACAAAGTTAAATGGCACAGGAGATTAGAAATGTGGGCAGGAGATATGCAAAGGGGCAGTATGTGTGGAGTGGCTATGGGAGCAGATGCAGGCATGACCAGACATGGGGTAGGCAAAGCAGGGAAGAACTACTGAATCTGGCAGCTGGGTGGTGGTGGTAGGTTTGGGATGGCAAAATAGATTTAAAGTCTACAGATACTCTGTTTTTCTTTCTGTCCTTCTCAGAATACCTCCTTGCCTGGCACAAACTGATGGAGTGAAGGCACTGGTCCAGACTGGGATCAGTTTCATTTTTATTTTAGCATAAAATTAAACGAATTAAAGTAAATTGCAGAAGATATCTAAAAGTATCTACTAGGTTCTTGGCTCCAATAGAAGCTCAGTGAATGTCAGCTCTGGGTCACTGAGTTGAGTCCCTCAGTTGGGAGTGGCCACACAGGATGGAGGTCAAGGAGACAGGCTCTGGGGGAGGGGCCTTCCTCAGCAATGTGCCTCTGGTCCCTGCTTTTAGAACTGATGGGGGGACCTCTGGAGACCTCTCCCTTGATTTCATTACTTCTACTTCCTTTCCTAACTGGATTAGATGATAGTCTATGAAATCCAGGGCATCAAGATTAGCTTTCTGCCTGGAAATGAGGAGAAATGTCATTATGGGTCCTGAATCAGCATCTCACCCCAGCCCTGGGCAATGGGGATTTTGTCTTTGCCCTGGCTGAGAAAAATAGTTATTCACTCTTTTCTTTGTCCTCTCCTGCATCCATCCATCCATCCATCCAATATGTATTCTGTAGCTGTCTCTCTGCAGCCAACCTGATATTCAGCTGTTTTAAGCAAGAGGCAGGAGATGTGATGCTTTTCCTATCTTAAAGCACAGACAATCAGAACACCTCCAACTCCCTGACACAGAGGTGCTGGGGGGCGTTCGTGAGATAGAGGGCTGCATTCCAGTTGTTGTTGTTGTTGTTATGTGCCATCGAGTCGGCTCCGACTCATAGCGACCCCTCCTTGGGTTTCCGAGGCAGTATCACTACGGAAGTAGGATTGCTCAACGGGACCCTTCAAGTGAACCCTGACTTCCCTGAGCCATAGCTATGGTAAGGAACAGGTGGGAAAGACAGCCATGCCTGATACCTGGGGACAAAATAGGTCAAAAGCCTTGGTTTTGAAGTGCAATAGGTGGTCTGCAAAGTCCAGTCCCAGGGTCACCAAATGCCACCTCCAAGAGTCTTTTTATAGCTTTATTCTCTTTGAAGCTCTATATTCTTGTACCCACTTGACAGAGGGGAAAATGAGGTCCAAATTAGATTGGATATCTCTGTCTAGTATATGACTATCCCTTACTCTTCTGACACAAGCCTAAAAAGACTTCATGATGTTGAATTTCTGCAAACCAAATTATTAAAGGGCATAAAGGGCTCATTGGTAAGGTAAACAGTATTGTCCCAATTCATCTGGATTGAATTATATCCCCCCCCAAATTTGTGTCATCTTGGCTGGGCCATGATTCTCAGTGGTTTAGAAATTATGTAAAGATGTAAGGTGGCAGATATGTAATGATACTCCATGATGTGATAAACTGATCAGGTATAAAAGGATTATGAGTAAGAGTAGTTTGCAGCACCCTTATTCCCATCACAGCCCTGATCCAAAGGAAGGGGAGCTTCCTTGTGATGTGGCCTGCAACACCTTTTATCTTACAAGAGATAAAAGGAGAGAGAAGGGAGCAGAGAAGGGGGACCTGCTACCCAAAAAAGAGGAGCCAGAAACGGAGCACATCCTTTGGACCCAGGGTCCCTGCACCGGGATTCTCCATGGAACAAGAGAGGCACATAGAGAAAGTCTTCCCCTAGAGCCCACACTCTGAACTCAGACTTCTAACCTCCTAAACTGTAAGATAATAAATTTCAGTTTGTTAAAACCATTGATGTGTGGTATTTCTGTTATAGCAGCACTAGTAAATTCCCACCCCACTGCCATCGAGTCAGATCTGACTCATAGCGACCCCTCCTTGGGCTTCCAAGGTGGTATCACTATGGAAGTAGATTGCCCAACCTTCTTCTGAGGAGTGGCTGGTGGGTTTGCACCACCAGCCTTCTGGTTAGAAGTCAGATGTCTTAGGCACTATGCTACAGAGATCCCATTAGCAAATTAAGACACTATATTTGTTTAGGAGAAAGCATTGGCCACCTGTAACTCTGAGCACATCTGTCCTTATTGGAACTGTTTCCATTGCTTTATTGACTTCTAGCATAACATTCTAAATAGTAGAATAATGTCTTGTGTGTGACAGAGAGGGGATTCCAACATCTGATACAGGATGAGAGTGGGCACCCTTGAGGTCCTTACAAACTCTTAGACAGTATGATCTTTGAAAAATTGGTATATTTTCTTCCTTTGCCATGAGACCAGTACTAGATGGTGCCTGGCTGCCATTACTGAATATTTTGATCAAAGATTCTATAGAAGAATCCTGATCAAAAGGGGGAGCATATGGAACAGAACTTCAAATTCTCATGGACTTGAGAGTTTCTGGAGCCATGGAGGGTGGATGAACCCCTAAAACTGTTGCCCTGCAATAATCTTTAAGCCTTAAACCAAAAATGTCCCCTGAAATCATCGTAAAACCAAACAATAATTTAGCATAACTAGTAGGGACTGTCTGCCTTGAGCATTATGCTTTCTCAAGATCTATCTATATGGGATCAGATTAACAACAGCAACTCAAAAGATTACATAGGAAACTTAGTGGGCAGTGACTTTATGGTAATGAGGGAGGAAAAACTCAGAAATGGAGGGTAAGAATAGTTGCACAATTCAAAGAAGATTAAATGTCATTAAATTGTACATGTAAAAACATTGAATTGGTGTCTGTTTTTGTGTGTATAATATTCTCAACCACTGCAACAAAATAAAATTTTCCAAAAAAAAAAAAAAAGCATATTTTAAAGATTTAAAGTAACTGCTCTCCAAGGGAAGCATAAGGCATGCCCTTAAACACAAAAGACTTAAAGTTTTGTTAGGAAAGCAAAATTAGCAAGCAAGCCTGGAATTAGAGAGTAGTATGAGATCACAGATAGCCAACCTCCATGCTGTAAGAACACAGAAAACTCCAAGTATGAGCTGGGGACATCAAGCCTTCCTGGAGGGGTTAGTATTGAATGTGGTCAGATTCTAGACAAGCAGAGAAGAGGACAATAGTCACTGTGCCAAGGAAAGAGAGTAGGAAGAAAGACATGGAAGGGGAAAGAGACCCATCAAGAGTGAAGAGACTTGCTTAATGGGTGATAAGAGTGGAGGATGACAAAAGAGATTAAATGGAAAGTAAGTGTGGTAGTTAAGTTGTGTGTCAACTTGGCTGGGCCTCATTTTGAGTGTCTGGGCAGCTGGATGTAGTTATTCCCCATAATGAGACTGGTAATCAGTTGCATGGTGGAATCTACTGGAGCAGCTGAGTAGCTGCCTTAGAGATGTGGTCTGCTTCCAATATATAAGAACCATTGAGAAAGGTCTCTGAGCTGTTTGGCACACTTGGACTTAGCAGCCTGCTATGTTTCCTGCTGATCTTGGGACTGTCTCTGGACTTGAACTAGTGGCCTGCCATGTTGTTTGGTAATCTTGGCACTGTGCCATTTTATTTGTCAACTTTGGGTTTGTCAGCCTCAGCAGCCAACAACTGCCTGAGTTAAGAGAAACCTCCAGCTTCAGTGGGCTGGGAGCAAGGTCAAGGGACTTTCACCCAGCCCCTAGAACTGGCACTTTGAACTTGGACTTCTAGCCTCCTAAACAGTAAGAGAATAAAATCCCTGTTTGATAAAGGCACCTAATTGTGGTATTTTCTGTTAGAGTGGCACTAGAGAACCAAAACTATAAGTATACAGAGAAAAGAATGTGGGAATTTTAGAAGATGTTACTGCACTGAGTGTGGGGGCTATGGATGACAGGTTTTTTCCCTCAGTAAATGTATTGATCACCTACAATGAGTCAAGCACTAGAGACAAACAAGGACCCTGCTTAGATGGGACTTCTATTCTAGTGTGGGCATTGGAGCAGGGAGACAGATAGTAAACAATAGAGTTTTTTTTTTTTTTTTTTTTTTTTTTAATTAATTCTCTGGTAGATAAGTACTATGGACACAATAAATGGCACAATGTGAATGAGAAAAATTTGGAGATGTGGCTACTTTGGACAGGGAAGGCCACTATCTCAAAGGGCAGGGCCTCTCTGAGAAGATCATATCCGAGCTGATACTTAATGATGAGAAGCAAAAAGAAGTCCAAGGAGCTGTCCAGACAGAACAGCCAATACAAAGACCCTGAGTCAGGAAAGAGTTTGGATTGTTGGAGGTACAGCAAAGAGAGGACAGTGTGATTGATGCCCAGTCCAGTAAGCAAGAGGGCAAGTGGTAGGAGGTTGGCAGGGGCTAGATCATGCAGGGCCTCTTGAGCTATGAGGAGGAGAGGTTTGGGGGTGTAGCTGTACTTATGGTAGAATGTGTGAGCAGAGAAAGGGCCTGTCTGAAACTTCTCTGTACCTTCTCTTCCCAGAGGCCAGAAAACTTCCTGACATCAAACAGCAGCAAGGTTCTGCCCACTCTGGATCCCAAGATCCTGGATGAGAATCTGGGTACCATCTCTGAGTCCTGGTCAAAGCCCATGGGGAGCTCCACAGTGAATTCTAGCACATCCATCTCTCAGGAAGCAGAGGAGGAGCCTCAGGTGCCAGAGATGTCCAATGAAAAGGTCAGTGTTGTCTCCCCAGGGGATGGGGGATGATTGGGGATGCAAGGAGGGAGCTTCCTGCTACCTCTGGGCCTGGATCATTCCACAAGTGGCAAGTCCCCATTAGGCACATTCTGTATGTGAATGACCCCAACCAGTAGAAGGTGTAGATTTTTCATTTTTTCAGAGTTTCTTCACCTTATGAATAGAGCCCCCATAGGATTTCTTTCAAAACAAACCCCTCCAACACTTGTGAGACAGGGTTCCATTTACTCAAGAAGGCCTTAACTCAGAACTTCTTTGAAGCACATTCATCAGGTAGTGGGAGGCCCCTTGAGGATTATTTTTTTACTTTTAAAAGAGAAAAGTAGGCTCAAAAAAAAAAAAAAAAAAGGCACCATCTTTGGTCACAGAGTCTGTGTCCTTGACCATGGGAGCTAGGTATCTTCCTAGCTCAAGTTGACCAGATGCTCTAGAAGGGTTAGTGAAGGTGACATTGTGGCTGAGATGGCATCTTAATTTGGTGAAGGGTCAATACTTGATGTAGAGACCTAACAAATAGGCCACCAAAGAGGCAATCTAATCAAAGTCCTTAACTGAGGTCCCCAAAACCATGTGTGAGTTCACGTGTGGGGTCCTCCCTTCTTCACAGCAGATCCCATGGGAAACGCTGCTCCAGAAGACCCTAAGAGAAGGCCACAGCCAAGAGTACCCACCACTAGGAGAGCCCTGGGCAGCCTCCTGTGAGGAACTACCCCCCTCTACTGACAGTCTCCCCATTTTCCCTTGGCACTTCTGCACCTTTCTGAAACATGTCCCATCAGATGAATAGGAAGGGTTACTGTCTGCTGGGTGTGACCAAGATGCTCCCATGTGGTGCTCTCTCCTGCCCACCCTAGAACAGGGGCCTCCTCATCAACACTTATAGTCCATCTCCTGCAACTCCCTCCTCACCTCTCCCCTTTGGGAAAACAGCTCTCAGTCTTGATCTTCCAGCTCAGCTATCAAATGGGTCAAAAATCAAGATCTTGTTTTTGGTGACTTTTGGCAGCATGAATAAACCAATGCTGCTGGCCCCAACAGCCTGGTCCTATGGCTTCCCCTTCTTGTGCCTCTAAGCAGAGGTAGTGAAGGAGAGGAAAGGGGAAGGTTAAAAGGGTAGGGAAGAAAGAAAAAAGGAAGATGCCATCGAAGAGGAAAGGCAGACAGGAAGGAAGGAGAAAGGTGAAGGCATTTCCTTCCTGGTCACAGCCTTGCAGAGAGCAGTCTCTCCTTCCCTCACCCCTCCAGCTCAGCCTCCTGGGGATGCACCAGCCAGCTAAGTCTAATCTCTTATTCAGTTAAGCTGCTCCAAGATACAGAACTCATTCCCTGTATCACATCACCTCTGGGAGCAGGGCCATTTATGCTGTGTGGGTAGACATGCCTCTGGTCTCAGCCACCTGGGCACTGGAACAAGCAGGACTTAGGAGGAGGTAATACTGGACCATCACCTTTGGTACTGCTCCTCTAACAGGAGCTCCCTGGTATGGGTTTGGTGAAGATTTCTGCTGGGCAAAAAATCCAAGTTGAGGTTCACAAGTCTGAGGGTGAGAACAATTTGAGAGACATTAGATATACATACTGAATACTGAGGAGTTGTTTGGGGGAAGTAAGACATAGAAAGGGGAATTAGGAGGTCAGAGCTTTCATTCTGCTTCTAAAGCTCTATGATGATGCTTTTGTTGACAATGATAATGGAGAGGAGAAGAAAAATGGGGCTAAGGAAAAAAGAGCCTTTAAATATAGGAGGGATTAGATATGTGGGAATTTTAAGCAATATTTTAAAAATATCTGGAATAATGAAATAACATTTAATCTGAAATAATAAAATATTATATGAATATAATAGGAACTCTGGTAGCTTAGTGCCTAAAGCATTTGACTGCTGAACAGAAGGCTGGTGGTTCAAACCCAGCCCCTCTTCAGAAGGAAGGTTGGGCAATCTACTTCCATAGTGATACCACCTCAGAAACCCAAAGAGTGGTCACTATGAGTCAGATACAACTCGACGGCAGTGAGTTTGGTTTTTTGATTAATATAATACTATACCCATATAATAACATGGGTAGTGGACTTATTAGTCTTGATCTTAAAGATTAAGCCAAAAGAAATGGGACTAAACTACAGCTTGGAAAGTCAAGGTTAGCCATTAGGAGGAAATGTTTTTGAGCAACAAAGTATAGCCATTGTAAGTAAGGAAGAGAAATATGTGTCCCAAGTTCACTAAGACAGGAAGGCTTTTCATCTAAGTGATAACCAGGTGGGTCAGGACAGCCCCATGCTGACACACTGTCAAAGAAGTCATGAATTGAGTTAGTTGGGTCTATATCCAGAGCTAACCCAAGTACACCCATCCTGGACATCACCCCACAGTCCCATCGATGGGTTTTGTGCCCATTGAAGGGCTTCATGGTCCCTTTACTCCTTTCCTTGCTGACACCTGGCAATGCCACATGACTAGATGATTTACTAAAGTGTTAAGTCCACTCACTCAGCATCATTCATCCCTTGAACTAAAACGTACACTGCCTTCCCCATCTCTGGGCTCCAGGACCCAGCCCAGGTCTGGCCCAATATAGACCTTGGTAAATGCTTGTTGGATACCATAGTAGAACCCACAGCTGGACAATAAGAGCATCAGAAGGAACCTTAGAATGAATTTGTCCGATCTAGTCATTTTACTAAGTTTGGGAATGAGGAGGAGCATCTGTCCAAGTTTCCCTGCTCCAGCTCTCCCACCTGCCTTGCACAGAACCAAGGAGAAATACTACTTGGCTACAAAAGCCTGCCCACCCAGTTCTGGACTCATCAACCAACCTGCCACTATTGGGTCCCTCAGATACCCACGTAGTATTCAAGGTGGTGGTCTTGCCCCCCTCTCCATTCCAGCCTGTTACAGGCCCATCCTGTCCCTCCTGGTTTTCCTGACTCTTTGCTCCATCCCCTTTACCATCCCACCCCTGCCCTTCAGTTCTCTTAACTCCCCACTCCTCTCTCTCTTTCTCATTGAGCTCAGATTAACCATACTGGCTATTCCCACCTCTAACACTTTGCCCTAGTTGGCCTGTGAAGACCCAGCCTCCAGCTCCAGCTCTTGCCTATTGACTGGAACTTGGCCAAGATCAGGACAGGAGTTAGACAAACATATGCATGCACCAGCAGAATCCAGTTACAATCAATAGAACATGGATGGGTAACAACAGTGTACAACTCTGTGACAACTGCAGATAGCCATGTAGCCATTGTTACATAGCAACCACAAAATTACATAGCAATGGATGAACTCATGTGACCAAGAGGCACAGTGCCAAGCAATAATATTTGGTCATGGAGCAGCAAAGTATAGTTGCATAGCAATAGACCTATGTAGTGATACAACACATATCAGCCGGGAAATGCATTCACAGAGCATAGTAGTACATAGCATAGACCATAGTTGTGTAAGCCATAGACAGGTTTATGAAGTAGTAGAAGATACTTGGATAGTAATAATGCATGTGGGTAGCAATGATATGGTCACAATATGTATGCCTCCTGGATGTATTGTGAGGGACTGATCACCAGCCGCAAAACGTGGGGTGTAGCATTGACCTGGTAATGTGTCAGTGGCTGTGCAGTGGCCACATGATTAACCACATCCCTTGGCTCTCACCATCGTCCCCCAGCCTGTGAGCTTCTCAGCATCACCTGATTTCCGAAGTGTGTTTGTCTGTGTCTGGTCTTGCAGCACATCCCCCAGAGCCCAAGAAACAATTTTCCCTCTGATTCCCTCCAGAGCCTACTTTGGCTTAATAGGAAATTGAACATTTTCTGGAGAAAGGAGCACCTTGGGAATGGAGGAGGTAGTGGAGTGATGCAGGGTTTGTGCTCTCTGGAGTCGGTGGCGGGGGTAGGGGGTGAGCCACAGATGCTCCCTGCTGCCCAGGGCCTCTTACTCACCACCCCCCAGCCCCACTGTTCTGGTTACCTAGTACTGCTCTGACAAGAATATACCACAAATAGGATGGCCTTAACAAACAGGAGTTTATTCTTACAATCTGGAGGTTCAAAGTGCCAGGCTCTAGGGGCTGTGTGAAAGCCCCTAAATCTTGGGGTCCAGCTCTGCCTCCTGCTCCCAGCCCACTGGAGCTAGAGGCATTTCTTCACTCAGACAGTTGCTGGATGCTGAAGCTGAGAAGCTCCAAGGTTGACAAGTAAAAAGGCACAGTCCCGATGTTACCTAACCACACGGCAGGCCATTAACTTAAGTCCATTGTATATCTCAAGGTCAGCAGAGCATAGCAGGCTGCTGAGCAATGACACGGCTACGTGCAGGGTCCAAGCATACCATAGGCTAGAGACCATTCCTAAAGGCTTCTCCTTAAATACAGGAAGCAGACCACATCCCAAAGGCAGCTACTCAGCTGCTTGTGGTAGATCCCACCATGGAGTTGATTGCCAGTCTCATCACGGGGAATAACTACCACCAGTTGCCCAGCCACTCAACCAGGCCCAGCCAAGTTGACACACAAACATAACCACCACACCCACCTAACCCTACAGGGGCTCCCCTTCCCATAGTGTGCCTTCATTCCTGGGTTGCAATCCAGCAATTTCTTCCCATCGCAAGCTCCTTTCATCCAAGACACATGTTTTTGATGCAGATCTTTCAAATGCTATTCTGTCAGCATGGGAAAACTCCAGTCCTGGTGGATCCACTGGCATCAGGGTCCTGTAGATGTGATCATGAGTCAGGTGTAGGACCTGAGGAGAGTTCAAGGAAGACTTTACTTCTGTTCTGAGCATCTCAGGAAGGTTTTATTTTATTTCAATAAGTGAATGTGAACAGTGAGATGTTAAGAGTTATCCTGAAAAGGCACTTCTCCAAACATTAAACAACTTGCAAGGATTTCTCCCTTCACCCTTAGAGTCGGGACTCATGCTGAGTCAGACAATGTCCCAACATCAGAGTGAGAGCAGGTAAGGTGAGCAGCTTCATG